TTTTTTTTTTTTTTTTTTTGGCTTTTACATGTAGGTTTTTAGATTTATAATTAAAGAGGTTGAAGGTGGTGTACTGTGTGTTGTAAGGGATAAAGTTTATTTATAAATAATCTTAGGATGATTAGAATATTTGGTTTGTGATTAATATTTTAAGGTTAGGTTCTCCATTAATTATCGGACACTAAGTATTGAAACTATTATAATTTAAAAAAAAAAAAGCTGTGTAACAATTAATCTTGATTTCAAAATTTAAAGTCTCGAAAATGCGTCGTTCATTTTATTTTGAAATTTTCTTTTTACATCACGCAGTGACTGCATCAGTGAAGATATATTTCTTCTCGAAAATGTTATGAATTGCCATACTGTGTAAAATGATTGAAAAATTTTTGTCACGGCTGAGTTTACGATGAATGTTTGACTTGAAGATCGAAGCTTCTCCTTTATAATAACCTGCGAAAACCTGATATATTTATGATTTTTTTCTCATTATTTCATTGAGTTTTGAATGTCAGGCTTAGATGACAAAAAATCGAAATTTAATAAATTGGCGGAAAAAGTTTTGCAAAGGGGAGATTTCAGTTTTCAGATCCATCACAGATTCAGACACAAAGAAAATTTTTTAATGTTTTCACATGCCATGACATTTTGTAATATTTTCGAGAACGAAAGTGTCTTCACTTTGCTATCTCTACAAAGTGTAAAAACATCTCAGAATAAACTGAATGACATATTTTTGAAACCAGAGGTCTCATGCTTTAGAATGAATCGGAGCTTATCATTATATTTCTTTTTACAAAATTATATCAGTTTCAATATTTAGTGTTCGAATGCTAATGGGTGCCATTGTGTAATACCATCAATTTTGAAGAGCATGTATAAAAAAGAATCTAATTATAGATGCCAAATATGATTATTTCTTTAAAAAATATTTGGTAAAGATGCCAAATATGGCTATTTCTTTAAAAAAAAAAATCACAATCTCAAATAAGAATTCGTTTATTAAAATTTGTTACATATTTTTTACATAGTAAGATACTCTTTTTTGCAACATGCTGAGTAAAAAAATTGAAATTAAACAAATACACAGGCAAGAAAGATGAGTTCCTAATGTAATTGTTTGCTTCTCGTTTCATATCAGGAACTACCAACGTTCTCACATTGGGAAACCATATTTATGAAAACGATTACACATTTTACCACATTTTGACGATATTTGTAATTCAATCGAAACGCTTGCAAAAGTTTCGAGACGTTTAATTCATTTGAATGTTAATTGATTCGATTGTCAGTGTGTCGAAAGGAACAATTACTGAAGAAAGATTTTTTATTACCAAACGGCACAATTTGCACGGTTAGCTACGTTAAAAAATCGCCCTGCTTCGACTCTCGTTACTCTCGTTTTTCCTTCCTCTCGCGGCTGTTGTCGCGAAATTCGCGAGTTTCTCACGCGTTTCTCGAGGTGAGGCAAGAACGATGGAACGAGCGAGCATCAGCAGCAGAGAGAGAAAGAGAGAGAGAGAGCCGAGAGAAGAGAGAAGAGCACGTTGCAAAGAGGAGCAGGGCGTGAGAATACAGAAAGCTGGAAAAATGAAACGAGGACAGCGTATCGTGTGCAGCAGACCCAGTGGTGAGAACGAACGTGAGAGAAAAAAAAAACCATAATCGAAAAGAAGGGACGATGGAGAGATGGATAACGCGTGCACATGCGGAAGTGGAGAAAAGAAAAGGGAAAATGCGAGGGGGAGGAGGGTGCGGAACAAAGGGAGAAGAATGGAGAGGCAACTGGAAGAAGTACAACTGGCCTCGTCTCTGCGCTTTCGAGGCGCTGATGGCTGTCTGGCGGGTCACTTCACCGTTGAAACGCGAAGTGGACTTCACTATAACCACCCAACCTTTTCGGATACGCCTGGGCACACTCGGTGATGTTGCCAACCTCTAGTATTCCACTCGCTGCGCCGCGGCGCTCCCTTGAGCACGTACGACTAACTAGAAAAATCCTCGGGTTAAGCGTCGTTCTCCCGTCGTGCACGATGAAAACCGTGTCGTTAGCAGTTAACCCCTTCCTCGTTCATCTTCTTCTTCTTCTCTTTCTTCCCTCCCTTCCTCGCTTCGCGTTCCCCCATTGTCGTTTCTTCTCTCCAACGGAATGCGAATGATTATTTCCTTCTTCGAATTTTGTTGCTCCGAATCGAGATCTTTGTCGTCTGATCAAGAGTACTTGAACGTCTTCCTTGTTTTCCCAAAGTTTTCTTTCTCTTTAGTTACTCTTCTGGATTTATCGAAAAATTATAGTTCACATTGAACTATTTGACTTTCTAAATTGACATTCTGTGCTAAAGAAAAAAGAGTATACTATTTTATTAAGTATCGTCAATTTCTCTGTCTTTTTTTTTTTTCTTGCTCAAATCTGTGTCTTGAGACCTTTGAGCGACAGTGTGATCTTAAGTTTGAGGGCTTACGTCACGACTATAAAGACAATTATCCTTATACTCATAGACAACTACATAGTGTAGTCGTATAGTTGTATCTACAGACAACTGTAAAGTAATAATTAATCAAACAGAAAGCTACAACGTGTATCGTATTGCGATTACGTGGCAACAGACTCGAGAGGAGGAATGCGATAAAACATTGTAGCAGAAAGATATTCGAGCTATGAAGATACAGCGTTGTAGGACGAACTTTATCAGACGCGTGTAAGTACTTACTTACTACAAGATCAAAATACCCCCGAGTCCTTCTTCGTACGGGAGATTACTGTTGTTGTTGCGTCTTGCGCTTCTCGCGGGCCTCACGACGTCCCAGGGTGCATAGATATCGCCATTAAAAAGCTTTTTCGCGTATCTGAACGTTAGTTCCTGTAGTGGCTTATCGTAAGTACCGTGTGAGAACAAGTACGGGTTACAGAGTTTCCCGCGGTGCTTGATTCGCCCGCGTAAATTCACATTGTTTCACTTCACTACGTTAAACGTTCTACGTTACGACACTGGGATTTCGAAGCTGTCGCGACACTCTAAGCTAATTACCTTCCAATAACTATGTAATGCAGTAATTGAAACATTTAGCGATTGATATTAATTTCGGAAGCGATA